GCTCCAAACTCCCCCGGGCCTATAAATACAAGCCTCAGGCCCTATTTTTTCAGATCTGGAATTTTGGAGAATTGGCGAAGCCCTGCCGAACTGAAGAGTGATCGAGTTCTTCAACACAAGAGATCGAAAGTCGTCAGATCTACATCACCCGCATCCAATCCTTAGTATTATCCCGTTGTGATAATTCTAAGAAGAGCAATTATCTCGCTTTTGTCGAGATAGGCGCTTCTGTTTCTAGATCTCCTCACGGATTGGCGAAGCTCTGGACCTGATCTGATTGCCAGGTAGTCCACGAATATCGACATCCCCGTCACAGGCTAAAGATCCACGCAAGCAAGAGACGACGAACGGATCTTGTGTTTATTTTCAAGAAAGTTGTAATCTTTTGTTCTTTTGTTGTTTGAATTCATTTGTAACGCTTAAAGTTTAATGAAATCAATGACTAAGGTAACTTTCGACGAAAACAATATCAAACACATTGAACTCTAATTCAAGGAATTTTGTTTTATTTAAATAGCTCTTATGTATAAAATGGTCCATATATTTCAAATATTATCAGTGGGACTCGTTTTTTCTCTTAAATGTTTCTCACCTATCCTCATATCTGATTTTGGTAGAAATTGACTATGAACTTACACAAATCTCTTTATATTGACTATGAACTTACACAAATCTTCTTTGTCAATTGAATGGGATTAGAGAACCATTACTATAAATTATTCACACTCCACAAAGCAAAGAATACACTCTTGCACAAATCAATCTATCTCATCTTTCCTTCAAAACCTCCAACATAGGTGCATTCCACACATCAATGGGTCCAAGCAAGCATCCATGCAGACAATCACTGATCTCCTAAATTTTTAAAAATTTGCACTTAAATACGAATAGTGAACAATTTGGATTGAATATTATGTGTTTAGTAGGTTAGCAGCCTCAAAATAGCCAACTTTAACTTCTACATGCTATGGGTAAAGTCGTAGGGGACTATTGTTTCACATGTTATGATAGTTTTATAATACAGACTTGGAACACTGACATTATTTTGTCTTTTTCTTCTTCATGTAAATATTTAAATAATGATAAAATGACAGTCCCTAAAAATGTCAAAGTTTAGCTAGATGTATAATTTTTTTCCTTCTTTTGTTGTAAGTACATGATTCAAACCCCATAGCTTTGACAACATACTATAGTTATTTGGCATGCAATATAGTAGAATGTTATACCTGTAGAATGTTAGTATCACATGTTTAGCAGATACCAAATAAAAGATGGCCATAATACTACAACTACCATGCAATACTAGTCGACAACAACTAAGTATGATAATGATTCAATAAGCATACTATTCACCTTAAACTTCATGTATGTGCCTATAGAATAATATTAATAGCCCTTTTCTAAAGTTCTTCGAATCCTATTTAGATCTGATAAAACCTCATAGACCTCAAGCATGCAAAAAAGGTATGATAAAATACAACTATTACCTAACGAAAGTAGTGGGAAAACTAAATTCCTAATGTACTACATTGCATCACTGGTTAAGGTTCAAAATTAGAAGTAGATGAGATAAGAACAATTCAAAAGGCTAATGTTATTAACTGGTACAACACATATTTAAGATTATCATCTCCAAACTATCGCTAATTTGATGTTCATGTATGGGCCTACAATGCCAACAAGCATGAAGGAGCCATAAAAAATGATGAATTTAGAAAAGTAATTGGAGATGTTGATTCATTTAAAAGATATTCTGAATTTCACTCTAGCCTCTGTTGAAATGCACCATTGATTGTTAATCGCTTGAAGCCCTTCAAATTCTTGAGAACTTATTAGGTGTTTATTCAGAAATTCAGAACTTTAATGTTGTTCGTGGTAAATTTTTTCCCAATAGAATTATTTTGACATGCTAAAATTTTCTATCAATATTTTAAAATTTATTCAACTCAAGTGTTACTGTTAGATCTCTTTTGGAATCTTTTTGCTGATATTTTATATTTAAAAAGAAATGGTAATGAATCCTTGTAGAAAGGGAAGCTTGTACACACAGGTTCATATAAATAAAAGGTGGCATTTTGTAAGAGGCATCTTCCCTCATTTAATTTATTTGTTTTCTTAAACAAATGAATTTAATAATGTAAAAAGGTTTTATGATGCAGTTAAATAGTTAGATTGACTAACATATTAGTTCAGAAAATTCTTCCAATTTCTCCCTTTTGGCGTCATTTATTTAGAATTTATATTTCTTTTTCTTTCATATGTTCATTTTATGTTGGAGATATCTACTCTTATAATGCTCGTGTGGAAGGGGAAAGGGAAATCAAAGTCGTCGCATAAACTTTAGCGTTTTCACGAGAGTGATTACATGAATCCTAATCAAGGTCTTTGTCTTGGTGCCCTATTTAATATTGAGCAAATGTAAGCAGTGCCCCCTGTATTTACTTATTTTTCTGTTTACTTTGCAATATGTCATTTGGCTAACAATTTTTATTGTTATTTTTAGTGTAGGGAGTTGACACTAGAAGAAGACTATGCATCTTTGGCTTTTGTCGCTCTATTGAAATGCTAGATAATGTTGTTGAAGACACTGTACTAGAACATGGAGGAGAGGTAACTTGGGAAGCACATTATAATGCAGAGTTTTGTTTGAAATCGGTATTCTTGTTCTTGCTTTTTATTATATTATATAAAATTATGCAGAGCATGCATACGTTAATTTCTTTCTTTTTATTATAAAGAGGAATAAAACTGTCAATTATAAAATTATACTTTTTGTTTGCATCGAAAGTTGATTTATTTGTCGAATCCATTACACGTTTATCGATTACAATGAATCCAAAAGAGTTAGTCTTTTTATAAGACTACTCACTTACACAAATAAAATAAGAATTACAACTCTCTTCAAACACACGCAGAGGACGTTTATCACCCGCTGCTTGCGTGAGATCTTTTCCTGTGTCGGGAACCCGTTAGTCTATGGACCGTCATAAATCAGATCTAGTTAACAGAATGAAAATTCAATGCTCTTGCTTCACAAAGGAAACAATCGCAGAAGTGATAATCTCAACCAAGTGAGATTACGACTCTTCTCGAGATTAAAACCAAGTTTAATCCGGAGGAAAGAGGAATGAGCCTCTGATCTCTCAAACTCTCCCTCTTTATGTTGAAGAACTTCGTCAGGATCTGCTAGCCTCTCTGAAATTCATGATTCACTCTTCACAGGGACAACACATCGCCTAAATTTCAGATCTCCTGCATATAGGACCCTAGGCTTGTATTTATAGGCTTTGAATACAGCGTTTTCAGACAAGAATTAATGATTTGACCTTATCATTAGTTAATAACTACTTAACCATGTTTAGGGATAGCTTCAAAATAGTTTGGGAGACTCTAGAATGAAAGAATCCCAAGAAAACCATCAAAAACATGTTTTCGACATTTTTGGGCGCGAGCCACCCTACGGTGGCTCGGAACTATGCGAGCTACCCATGGCGAGCCACTTGAAGGTGGCTCAGCCTTGGCCAAGCCACCTGGCCTTGGTGGAGTCATTTTGACACCACTCGGCTACCGGTGTGGTTTTTGCGGACTTCCGGGTTAGACTTGTTTCGTCGTTATGCGCATTTCGTTATTTCGCTGACTTGTACACTTCACTGATTTGCTTCATGCATTTCGTTAACTTGGACGTGGCTAACGAGTGTGTAGGCCACTTGCTTTGCCATTCTGATATCTTGTTACTACATCATCAACAGTTCATCGTTTTGCTTTCGACGCCTCGTCGTCACGTCATCTGACGGTTCTCGCTCGATGGCTCAACATCTCGAGCTGTGTTCGGGGACCTATAGGTAATTTTTGACGCCTACAGATACCTCCTCCAAAGTGTTTTAGTCTTATTTTTTTTATAGAGGAGCCTAGAATACTTTGGATATGATACGCCCAACCTTTAATTCATTGACTTCTTTAGCTTTCAGTCTATTTAGTATTTTGTCGAATAGTTGAAATTCTTTTGGTGCTGTGTTTATCGTCTGACCGTGTTGAAATCTTAATTTGAGACTGGCGTATTGATATCTGAATTAGCTTGTGTCGTTGAATCGACGTTGAATTAATCATCTTTGTCGAGAGTTTATATCTAAATTGTAGTTGAGCTCCTCGGGGTTAATTCAAAAATGAGAATGATCCTAAGCTTTGTTTTGGCAAAATTATCAACGTGTTGACTAGCGTCGACATTGGCATCGATTTGCCTTTGAACGACGTTTGATTCACGTTGACCAACGTTGACTTTCATCATCACGTGTCGACTGGTGTCGACTCTCATCATCATGCGTTGACCGGCATTTGAGTTCATCATCACGCGTTGACTGACATTGACTCCCATCATCACGCGTCGATCGACATCGACTCTCATCATCACACGTCGACCATCATCAACTTTTGTCGCAATGCATTGACCAGCATCAACTTTTTTCATAACAAGTTGACCGGCGTTAAACCTTCATCGTGACGTGTTGACCGACATCGACTCTCATCGTCGCGCGTTGATGAGCATCAACACAGTTTATACTCATACGTTAACTGGAGGCTACATAGTTTAAGCTCTTAAGACGTTGGAGCGGGGAGAACTAATTTATACTCATATACTCCTGTGAATTTTAGGAATTAGTTTAACCTTATATATCCATCGGAGGTTCAAGGAGATAAAGTTTAGACTCATATACTCATTGGAGTGTGAATACACACCTCGAATATATGCTGAAAATGCACGAAAATGGGCAAAAATGCATGCGAAAACACCTCTAAGACCCACACACGTGCAAGTCAGCTCCATGTGGCTTGCACGTGTGCGAGCCTAGCTTAGTGTAGGCCTTTGCACGTGTGCGAGCCAGCCTTAGTGTGGCTTCGCAAGTTTCTGATGCCAGTTAATTATGGCCTCGCAAGCATGCGAGCCAGCTAAGGCTGGCTGAGGTCGAGTTCTTGGGAGTTTAAAAACTCCATCTTCTCCAATTTTTCTTCATCTCATCAGAGTTCTTCTTCTGCCCAAGTTTAGAATTCCTTCTTATAGAATTCCTGATCTTCTCACTTTCCTCCCCTCTTTCAGCTCTCCTCAAATCCAACCGAGTTCACTAATTGAGGGCTAGGGTTTCGGTAATTCTCAAATCCTCATTTAGGAGAAGTCTTCGTGATTGATTCTTCCTTATTGAGCATTGTTCTCTCGAAGTCTCTAGTAAGTCTCTCTCTCCATTGCTCCAATTCAGACTGCAATTAACCCTTGTGTGTCGGTTTTGAGGGAGAATCAAAACCCTAGTTTGGTTGATGATGATTTTTTTGTCAAGATTTCTAGTTCGATCTTGTTGCAGCTATTTCTTTTCACTGAGTTCGTTCACATTCAATTCTTGGTTGATTCTAGGTAAGATCTTCATATGAAATCTTGAATTGAGGGTTGATTTCTTGAGTTTTGAGGCTTAATTTTTAGTTTTAGGGGAAACTGAACCTTGGTTTTGATTTATTCCTCTTGATTTTCTTTGTATGATTTAATCTTCATCCTCCTTCTCTTCTTTGCTGACAGGAACCCGGGGTTCTTTTGTGCTTTTATACAGTGAATCTCTTCTTTGTGACTTCCCCACTAATTCACAGGTAGATTCACACTCGAAATCCTCCAATTACATTAATGGGTGATTTTGGATTCAGGGTATTTCTTGAACTTGATTTTGGGATGAATTGAACTTCCATGTAAATATGGCCGAAACTCAAGTTTGCATGAATTTGATTTGTGAACTGAATTCATGACTGAAGCATTTTTTGTTTTGTTAGTTGTTTGCACTTCGACCTTAGGGATGACTCGAAGCAAGGACCAAACATGTGACTTGATGTTGAGGATTTTGAACTCGTGAGGAGAAAGGGTCAAAGTTTTAATCCTTGGTTGTGGACACTGTTAAGGTCCTCGACTTTTGCCCATGATCCCGTACATAGCCCTCGAGCTTTTGGTTTGATTGCTTTGAATTTCAATCAAGCCGAAACCCTTAGATTGTTTGAACTTGGTTTGGAAGTTGACCTGTTAACTTGTACGTAAATACGGCCGAAGTCCTTAGCTTAATTTTGGCTTGAATCTTCAGTCGTGCATAAAGCTTGACTATGTGTGTATGTTATACTTTCTTGCTTGATTTGGACTTAGCCCAGAGCTATTATCTCAATTTTGTGTATTGATTGAACTCCGGGTCCTAATATTGATATCCATGGTTTTAATTGGGTTTTTAACCGGAAAATCCTATTTTTATAGAATTTTAGTTAAATTTCACAATTTGCCTTTTAATATTGGATTCATATATCTTATTCCTGATATAACTGAACCATTGTCTTTCATTGTAGATTAACTATGTCTCCAAAGAGATTGCGCATTCCGAGGGGTTGATTAGCCACTCAGCCACCTGAGAGAGAATCTTCATCATATGCCGGTAAGCTTTTACCACTTTTACTCGTGAATTTAAGTATTGATATGTTGTATATTGTATCCTCACTTTGTTCTCCTTCGTGAGGCAATTAGAAAGAGCTAACATTCTCCTTCGTTAGGGTTAACGCTTATAAGAAGTGCTTTGCTTGGTCAAAATGCATCTTAAGACAATAATGGGTGATTTCATATTGTATCGCGTCACATAAGACGGGGTATATTGTCGGGTTAATTGCGCGACAATGTGCATTGTCTTCCGTATGCATAATACAATTAAAATCTTCTCGCCAATTACAGGGTAGTGACTCTATCTCATGGATTCGTGAAATGAGTTTAACGCATGTATTGCCTTACAAAGGACATTCTTGTAACTATGTTTAATAAATATGCATTACTTGTTTTAATCAAATTCCCTCCAGAGGCGTTCTCTGCCCATGCACTGGATGGTCGTCATAGTGAGGCTTATGCTTCTACTGATGACGCTATGCTCATCTCGGCTATTTCCCAATTTGCTCCGGATGGGCCTAAAGAACTTTCTCAGCTAGTGTGGAAGGGAGATTGTCGTACCCTACAACAATTGATCACCGAAGCAACCCTTGTCAAAGATCCTAGCTCTACCCATCCTTTAAGGAAACCAAATTATTTGTTCAGCGACTCCATTGAATACCCAGCCATTGTATCTCTCGAAGCCGAGCAATGGCTGCATAAAGATGATGGAGGCTTCCTATATCTTCCCCTAATTCTTCGCCAGCATTTGTTGACTGAGTTACGGTGTCAAGTTGTGACACAGAAGATGTCGTGGAGTTTTACAGAGGAACACAACCACATCCATTGTGGATACGTCACCCAACAGACTATTTTGGGCTCAAGTGACAGAAACCGCATCATCGGATTGCATCCAAGTGTGTTGGGACTAAATGACTCGCCGCTAGGTGAATTATTTATAGTCGCCAATACTTTAAAGAATCGTCTCGCAAGATTGGGATGAGAAATGCTTGCGACGGGTCACAGGTGTTACGGTTGGGTTCATTCTTCAGACAAGCTTTGGTGGGATCGTATGACTAGCTACATTCTCAACTGATAAAGTGAGGAGCTGAAGGCCAGCGGTTTGTATGCAGTTGTTTGCGCTACCATGTATGGGTTGCCAATCAACATCCCTCATTTCCTTGCATTGTTAGAGCTCTATGCTCTAGATACAAACACCTTTTCGACGAAGCACGAAGAACTAGGGTTAGCTCTGAATGAGATGCATAAAGTTTCTGATCTGCTGATAGGGAACATACCATACCAGGAGTATTTTCCTTCCAATCGGGAGTTGTATCAGCTAAAGCTATGCATGTCCGGTCTCTATAACTAATAATCACATTTTATTATAATTTTATACCCTTATTATCTATTTTATATGAATAAATATGACACTAATAATTGCTTTTATCTTTAAATGCAGGTTAATGAAGAATAAATCCAAAAATCTCATCTCTCAACAAAGGCCCTTGATTTAATGAAGAAATGAAGCAAAAGAGAAATCAAGAAGCCCATTGAAAAATCAAATTGCCAATTTATCCAAAAGCCCATTGATTTAATGAAGAAAACAAGTATGAAGCCCAAAAGCCCAAAGCCAATACAAGAGGAAATATGCGGATGGCAAAAGGAAGAGACTGGATATCGATACCAGCATCGATGCTGGTATCGATACCTGCGGGACTGTAGCACGTTCTAGGGCTGAAATTTGCTTGTTTTGGATAAGTATTGATCCAATAGCTCACATTCATTGATGTTTACTATAAATAGGGGTAGAGAGTGAGGGGTTAGAGGTGTGAAAAATTTTATAACTTCATTTGGAGAAGAGGGCTACTCTTAATTGAGAAGGCCTTCCAAATTTGTAACTTTTGTTACAATTAATAATAATAATTTTTTCTCCACTTTAAATCTTCTTCTATTTGTTAGATGATGATGATGGAGATAAAGAAAAGTTTGAAGGTTTGCTTTTCTTTTATTTTTCTCTTTTATTTTTCTCTTTTATTTTTTTAGTAATTTCTTTATTATTGCTTATTAGTTAGATTTATATTCATGTTTGTAGTGTAGATTTATTTTTTTATCTTTTTATTTCTTTTTTTGCACTTTAATTTTTAGAATAGATTTATGTTTTTGTATTTAATTTTTATATTTATTTTGTAGTTTAGATTTTAATTTTTTATAGTTAGATTTATTTCTTGTTCATAGTTTAGATTTTTCTTTTCTTTTTATTTTTATAATTAGTTGATTTTTTTCTTGCTTTTATTTCTTAAGATGTGAAATTAACTCTTGTAGGAATCTTAGAATTGTATGAAACTAGTCTAATTTTCTTTATATTGTATGAATTATTCTCTTACACTTAAAATATTCATGTTTAGGATAATCAACTAGAGAACTAATTGGTAGAAGAAGAATTTGATAATCTATGCTTATCTTAAATGGTTTGATAGATTATATTTATGAATTCTAGGATTACTATCTTGTTGTTATTCTTATCATGAATAGTAATTTTAACTTAGATGATAATTTGATAGGTTATACTTTCTTTAAATGGTTTGATAGTCTATGCTTAATAAATCTAAGTTGAAATATGATAAAAAGAGAATAGTTTGTATTTTATATTTGAGTTAGCTAGTGGATTCAATTCTAGATTTCTCATATCTTTAATTGAATCCTCCATCTTTTGTTTTCTTGATTTTTCTCTTTTTATTCTTGCTTTTTATTTTATTCTTTGATTCTTTCTTCTCTCCTTTAAAATTCAATTTATTGTTACTTGCACATATTCAAAACAATCACTCATCATATCTCTCTTCATAATCATACTTATTCTTTAATCCTATTTTGTCACGCACACAACATAAGAATCGATTCTAATTTTCTCCTACAATACACCTTCCTCGTAGGATCGATAACTTTTTATACTATAACTTAATCAATTGTGCACTTGTTATTTTGGTACGTAATTATGCCGCATCAATAACACTTTGTGGGATCTCACTTGTCACTATCAGATAGCTCTGGCAGACGTTGAACCACTAGCAAGGAAGACGCGACCGCAAATAAGTTTAAAGTCATTCGTGGATTACTTACTCAAACATTTGGACAGGAACTCTGGCGAGGCGATCTGTTAGTTACCACCGCTAACTCCCTCAGAGGTCAATGAGTTAATCAAGAAATCCGGTGCCCATTCTTATACCAATGTTGGAACTGAGAGTAATTTTTCTGTGAGAACTAATTTCAAAAGATTTCTATGGTAGGCGGTGAAGCCAATTCAGCCAATGACTCTCTTAGCCGGTTATTTCACGATCTGATTAAAGAAATGTGTGGTGTCATATCAGTCTACTGATGCTCTACCCATAGAAGTGCTTTATCTAGTGGTTCATCTTGCCCACCGAAAAAGTCTTTCCCTTCTTCTGGTGATGATTGCCGACATTCATCATGGACTCCGACAAACAGTCAGTGCTTTCACACAGGGAGAAGGCAAGCCGTCAACTCAGATTCCTCTCGCTAAGGTGGAGCTCCCCTATACTTATCTGATAGCATGGTTCGTCCTCCATCACTCTGATATGATGTTAGCACCGAGCACTACAGATCAATCCATTCCCCTACTGTAATTGCTAGAAAATTGTAGGTGGAAAGGACCGGGGTTCTCAAAAATAAAGAAGCAATTACAGAATCACAAGTGTTGGGTTTTCACCACATGCTTCTCACGATTTTTGGGTCAATACGAGGATTCGTTGGCTGGTGAGGAAAGGCCGAGGACGAATCAGACCTGCCTTGACGTCAGCTGCTTCGATTGGTTAATAAACATTAGACCGAGTTGTCTGATCTTCCGGGTGAGGAATCACTGCTACATAGAGTCATATTTTCCTTTTCGGTTCGCTCATCAGCTCGAATATAATCAACTATATATTAGGAACCCGAATCGATGACTTCAGACCCGTGGCGGACTAGTAGATGGCGCTTGGGCATGGCTATGAAGCATAACGGGTTGTACCGGTGCTAGGTTCAGTCTTCCAGGTGCTGAACACCAGTTGGAGCTTATGTTCTTATGCTATAGGTGGCTACTAGCAGCTAATGAACCCATCCCAGTAAGGCCGATTGCGGAGTTGGCGGCCGAGGATTGCCGCCCGGATAGTTTAAGAGGCCAAATATCAAAAGAGACGAGGAAAATAGCCCGCCGGTCCTTCCGGTAAGGGAAAAAAAGAGGAAGACATCTTTTCTTTTGAGGAAGAGACCTCTGAAGTAAATATCGTCAGTGGTGAAGGCACAAGAGCTGGCAGCGACGAAGAGGAGCTTGGAACATGTCTATCAGACTCCTTTCTCAACGAAATATTAAGTCTAGCGATTGCTGATAGGATTTACCGATCCAACTTGCCTAAGTCTCCACCAGCTCTAAAGAAGCCGAGATTACAAGTTTTATCAACCTATCCTAACAGGATGACTGTTGAACTTCTAGATGTGGCTTCTGAGAAGGAAGAAGAAGAAGAATGGTCTTCCCTTATACACCACACAAGATCACGAAATGTAGCTCAGGCTACTGCATGGGTCGAGTCGCGGACCAAGCTCAGGAACGAGAGATCTGACGCTTCTAAAGAGGTTCAATCTGTGAAGTGGAAGAAGGTAGCACACAAGTCATATGTCAATCCGCACGCTTTTGGGTCAAAACCAGTTAGTGACGTACCTCTCGGGAGAGGAGGTAACCTCTCAACTTTGCGTAGTCTTACAATTCTCCCATTCTTTAATTTTTTGTTTAGACTAAAAAAATCAGTGTTTCTTTGAAGATCACGAGGGAAGTGAAATGTCGTACAATCCTCCCTCTCCCGGTCTTGCCTTTTTTGAGGAACCTGGATCCTCAGAACAAATGCATGAGGACACGACCAAGGAGCCTGCAAGCATAAAAACGGGTGCAGCTGTTGGTATTAGCAAAGGTGCCGGTGCTAGACCTGATACAATCACAAGGATTCCAAGCTCAGGTACATTTATACACGATGATACACTATTCAGGTGGTCACTACGGGAGTTGAATGATTCAGAATTCGTGCCTCCGCTAATTGTTTCTATGCTTCTTGCTCTTTTAGAAAAATTGCAAGGCGTGGGCATGAGTGCTGGGGCTGCGAAATCTGGTGCAGCTTCTGGAGGTGAGTTTGATTTCCACTCGTCGTAAATTTTTGACTTTTCTTCCTTCTGTTTTAACACTTAGGCTTTCTGCAGGTATTTTGATGGAGGGTTCAAATGAAGAAGAATCTTTTTGTGATGCGGCTCTCAGAGAGTCGGATGCACCCTCATTTGACCTGACACCAGCCTCTTTAGGTTCTAATGACGGGCTGTTCGATGATATGTTATCAAAACAAGTTCATCGCGAGGCTGTTGAACCAACTATTGTAGATGGTTCACCTGTAGGTATGAGTTTTATCCTTGTGTTGCATTCATTTATTTGCCGGTTTTCACTTAACCATAGAGGAGTTCCAACCGTAGGACCAGTCATTAAGACTGATGCAACTACTCTTATCAAAAAGTCTGATGAACCTGAGGGTCTCAATTTCTTGCTGTTGGCAGGGACTATTATCGAGACTCGGTCATTAGTTCCTCAAACTCTGCTCGTCATCCCTAAAGACCAACGACTATAGCAACTGTCATAACTGTGGGTGCCAGTCTTACTGAACAAGCCGTGAGACCAACTGAAGAAGTTGGTGCATCAACGGTTGTTACCCCTGTAGTAATTCCACCGGTTCATGAGGTTGGACATACGGAACCAAGTGTGGGGCATTCGACTGAGGAAAGCTTTGCCGGCATTGGTAAGTTCTACTGTGTTATTTGACTTAGAGATATTTTTTTATTTCAAAAAACTTACCTCTTCTCTTTCTCATAGGGCTCTCATCCCAGCTTCATGATCTCATTAAGGCACTGCTGTCGGATGATGACTCAGATCAAACCATTCTTTGCATGGAAGTCAGCCACTTCTTCTCTTTTTGTGAGCACGATGATCGACAAACTTCTCCAAAAGAGGCTTTCTTTCAATCAATTCAGGTCATTTCTCAAGCTAAAAATGGTCTCGATAAAGAATGCAAGCTCCCCAAATCTGGCGAAGGCTATTGCTGATGACTTGGACCGTCTGGAATGTGAATTTCAAAATCTAAAGGAGTTTCAAACTGTAGGTGCTCTTGCTTACATAGCTGCTGAGATGGAATCTCGATTACAAATGTGGCACGATACCCGAGTATCTACTGGGCTCGAGGTTCAAACACAACGAGGTCGGGTAGATCGGATGAGGACAGCCCTTACTGAGAAGTTGGTGGCTCTATGCGATCTTGATTCCTCTCTTACATTAAGTGATGCCAAGATAGCGTGGCTTAAACAGGAGCTTCACGTAGAGGAGGAGGCTCAAACCATCTTGGAATTAGCAAGGGCTGATGATGAGCATGCTCGAGTCGTGATATCCAAAAAGTTGGAACTCTCGGAATAGAAACTAGCCAAGATGGATGAAGAGGCCAAGAAAACACTAGTCGACACTAAGGAATCCTTCAAGGTTGAATTGCAGAATGAGCTTGAGCGAGCTTATGTAGAGGAGTTATCTAAATTAGAGCAACAAGTCCTTAGCCATAAGCTTCGTGTAGAATGGCTGCAATTGTTGTATCTACAGACTCCATTTTTTATTAATAGAAGATATTTTTCAGCTCATTATATTTTTATTATGATTTCTCATTCTGCTTGGAATAATTAATCATAATACTCGTAGGATTTTTTGCAAATCCTCAGCCATTAACGGATTTGATGTACCTTCACCAATTATCATTTGAATTGGGCTAGTATGTGAATTATCTAAGTCTGTTTCACATATAACATTGCGCTAAAAGAATGAACTCTCTTAGACTTGGTGCTATGATATCGAATACGTAGACTTTGTCATTTGTCGCGGAAATAGACTACCCGACAACATGTGTTAGATACAGATTTATCTCTATTTAAGGGTCAAGATAAAGTCTCTCATGCGTGTATGTCATGAATTTTAGTGTTGTTAAAAGATTGTGTCTTCTCTTGAGGAAAAGACGAACCCGATACCGGAGAGAAAAAAATTATATTCTATCACCTGCTGCAAAAGAAACTCAAAGTGGAATCTCCACTTCGAGAATCTAGAAGGTGAAAATAAGAGTGGAATCTTCACTCCGAGAATTGAAAAAATCTAGATAACCCTAACTTTTATAGGATTGGTTACCTGATCTGAAAAAAAAATTCTCATTTATCGAGATGGAATTCTAACTTCAGTCCTAACTTCTATAGGTTTGACCGAAGGGGAAAAAGTGGAAGCCTTTCGTTTATCGAAAATGAATTCTGATTATGGTACTAACCATTTGATGGTTTGACCATGTGAGGGTTATTGAAACGACCCTAACTTTTATAGGTTTGATCGTTCAACTTGGATGGAGGCCTTTTGTTTATTGAAAGGGAAGTCTGATTTGAAAGTGGACCTCTCGTTCATTGAAGAAATCAAAAGGAGATTTTGTCTATGGTCCTAACTATATGAAGGTTTGACCAAGCGAGCAGTGGGAGTGGGGTACAAATAACAGTGAGAATGTTGACTTGTACAAATTACTCAGTGGGGGTTTTCATGTGATAGGACTTAACATGAAAGGGGTTTATTAATTTCCATGGAGTAACAACTTGAACTTTTGAGTACTGTGTTGGGACTTTAACATTAGGAGTGTTAAGTTCACAAACATAGTGGGATTCTGGATGGACTCAGTCGAAAGAATTTTTGGTGGACCCACTGTCAATTAATTTGATCAATGAGGGATTTTGTGATGGAGGATCGTGAATTGTCAGGCACCCCACAGTTACATCATGTAGGCATCGAAAATTGCCTATAGGTCTCCACGAACGGCTCAGTGTTAAGGAACGACGATGAACGTCACTATCCGGTTCACAGGAGTTCGATTGATGTCGATGAACGCTTGAAGTAAATCGACGAACTACGTGAACTAACGAAGGTACGGGCTAATCGGGAGCCCCGCGATGTTTACAAAAGGAACAATGCCCTTCGTGTCTCATTCATTCTATAGATGATCCAACCATCGGAGCTGATAGAACTCCTTGTCGGCTTTCCAACATACTTCGAATCACTCAAATCCGAGTTCGGACGAAGGAATTACGGCAGAAACAGATAAATACACCATATGGAGTGTCTCGGCCCAAACCGAGACACCCTAGGGTGTCACAGATCAATGGGAGACACCCTAGGGTGTCTCCGATCAAATGGAGACACCCTGGGGTGTTTCCAACGCAGATTTGGGCCTTTAAGTGTTTTTAACCGTTCCGTTATCCCCTCAAGCCTATAAATACAAGCCTTAGGCCTTATTTTTTGGGGATCTGGAATTTTGGAGATTAGGCGAAGCCCTGCCGGATTGAAGACTGAAGGTGCACGGATTTTAGAGAGGAGGAGGAGAGATCAGATCCAGTTCTTCAACGCAAGAGAGAGAGAGATTCGTCAGATCTACAGTTTCTCGGATCCGTTCCTTAAGATTATCCCGTTGTGGTAATCTTAAGAAGAGTGATTATCTTGCTTCGCCGAGATAAGAGCTACGATTTCTCGATCCCTTCGCGGATAGACGAAGCTCTGCCCAATTTTTTAGCAATCAGATCTGATCGACGGTGGTCCACGGATAAACCCCGGCACAGGCAAAGATCCCACGCAAGCAGAAGACCGATGAACGATCTCTGCGTTTGTTTGATAAAGTTGTAAACTTTTTTTATTTTCATTGTGTAAGGAGATCTTATAAAAAGATCAACTTTTTATTTCATTCGAGTTTATTATAACGACTAAAGTTGTAATAGATTCGATAATAATGAAAATAGCAACTTTCACCGCAAACACATCATAGGAGCTTTGTGAGAGAAGGTTGACCGAATGAGACCATTAAATCTCATCTCTACGAAAGAGTGCTCGGAAAGTCACAGTGGAAGGGTTTTATTCATTTTGGAAATGATTAAATAGCCATCGTGGGAGGTTCTTAATCACTTCTTATCTATGATTAAGAATGAATTATTTAGATGACTGGTCTTCATATTGAATAATTAGCTGATCTCAGGTTATCCTTAAGAATGCCGTGCATAGCATTCTCTAGGAACTTCCCGTTAAATAGGTTATCATGAGTGTACTAAGGATAGTACTTATTCAATAACTTTCTATTTATTAGTAACATGAGCTTGTCACCGTCTTAGATGATTAGGCGATACACACTGGTTGAGTAGACTGTCTCTATCATAAATGGTCCTTCCCATTTGGGTTGGAATTTATATTTCTTCTTAGAATTGAGTATCATTGGTCGCCGGATGGTGAGAACCAAGTCTCCTTCCTTTAAGCTTCATTGTTGGACTTTTTTATCAAAAGCCTGGGAGATTCTGGCCTGGTAAAACTCGATTTGCTAAGCTTCTAGGCGCTTTTCATCTAACATCTAAAGTTCTTTGAGACATTTTTGATGTTGTTCTTCTGTCGTTATCCCTGTTGCGAGAGCAATGCGAAGGGATGGAATTTGGATTTCTAAGGAAAGAACATCCTTGCATCCATATACTAGAGAGTACGGAGTCGCTCCAGTAGGCGTGCAGACTGTGGTGCGATATGTCCAAAGAGCTTCACCGAGTTTATCATCCTAATCTCGTTTGTTGGTCCTCACGAGTTTTGATAAAATCTTTATGATTGTCTTGTTGAATGCCTCAGCCAATCCGTTTGCAGTAGGATTGTATGTCGTCTACGAGACATCTTGAATTTTGAATTTTTTATAAAATTTGATGAAGGCATTGCTGACAAACTGAGGGCTGTTGTCGTGTACGATTCGTCTTGGAGCACTGTATCGGTAGATGACGTGATGTTTGATGAACATGATGACGTCACTTGTCTTCACTTCTTTGAGTGGAACTACTTCGGCCTACTTTGAGAAATAATCGGTGATTGCCAAAATGAAATGATCACATTTGACTGACGATGGAAAAATAGGACCAATGATGTCCATTTCCATGTCTCAAATGGCCATGAGGTAGCCGAAGGGTGCAAGTGCTCCGGGGTTTACTACATGTAATTTGCGTGTATTTAACACGCGTGGCACCATCGGGCGTAGTCAACTATATCCTTAATCATGATTGGCTAATAATACCCTATTCTTCTGAGATGATCGCAGAGTTTGGGACCAGACTGATTTGCACCATAGGTTCCATCATGCGCTTCTTTGAGATCCTCCTTCACCTCTTTGGTCGAAAGACATCGGAGTAGCAAACCATCGTATGTGTGATGATATAGTGTTTAGGTTGCCATGTTGTAATAGAATCTCGGTGCTCTTCGCCAAACCAAGTCTCTTTCCTTGATGTCTTTCAGTAAAATACCATGCATGACAAAGTCGATAATGGAAAATCACCAATCTCGAGGCTCGAGTTCAATTCTGGCCGAGTGCGCCTCCTTGATGTCCAAGGCGTAGGTTTGGTATGAAGACTTGGTGAGTTCTCACAGTGACCCATTGTTTTGTGTCGGGAGGCTGTGCCAGAGATACCGTTAATACCGCTAGTGCATTTGCATATGTGTTCTATAGACGTGAAATGTATTCGATGAAGAATTCTTCGAATAAACCTGCCATCTCGATGGCCACCTTGTGGTACGGTATCAAGTCTTGATTTCTAACTTCGTACTCTCCTTGAATTTGGTTGACTATCAGTTGAGAATCACCAAAAGCTTCAAGGTACTTGACCTCCAGCTCTTTGACAAAACTGAGCCCAATGAGTAGTGTGTTGTATTCGGCTACGTTGTTGGAACATGGTTTAGTGAGTGTAGACTCGAGGCATCATATGTTTCTCTGTGGAAACTAAGATAACTCCAACTCCTGAGGAGATTTTAGAATATCCGAGAGCACTTGCACATTGGTTGCTCGGGAAGCACCATCGAAGTATAATTACCACACCTGTTGATGAGAGATAGTGTTGACTTCGTGGCTTTCATTCGACAAGTCTTCGTACAATTCGGTTGCATTCGTTGTAGGATTAGCTGCCAAAAGTTCACAAATCGCTTGTCCTTTGACTGACTTCTATTGTTTGAAGTACAAATCGTATTGGGACAAGAGCAGGGCCCATCTTGCTAGCCGCCAATTCATAAAAGCCGGTTGCGTCATGAATACTCGGACTGGGTTGGCATTAGAAATGACATAGATCGTCTATCCGGCCGGGTAGTGCCACATCTTTTGGATAGTGAACACCAAAGAGAGATACTCTTTCTCAATCATTGGATATCGAGATTCAGCCTACTAAAGTCTGACTCAGATAATATACAGCTTGTTCGTGACCGTCATCATCGTTTTGTGTGAGTAAAGCCGGCTCTTCGGGGATTGGCTTGATTTGAGTGAGGAACACGTCAAAATCAGCCAAGGCTTCTTGCAGGGCCTCCCTAGTGTCTTTGGAAAGACACAATAACTCGTATAAAGTTATCTTCGCTGGTATGTTAGCTAGTTGAGTCATAATATTGAAGCAATATGGTGTGCTTGAATTTCCTAGTTTATCTTTTCCAATCGGACGATTGAATTGAGACTGCTTTGGGTTCTGAACCTCTTAGCGCTGGGGCTCTTTCTCTTTTTGCTTGTTAGTTATTTGTTGGTGGGGC